TAGAAGTTGGCAAAGCCAAGGAAACCTGAACGTCTGACATTGATTGTGGAGGCTCCCATTCGAGAATAGTCTTGACTTTAGCAGGATCCATCGTGATACCCTCAGGAGTGACAATGAACCCAAGGAACTCCACAGACTGCTGATCAAAGGAACATTTCTCAAGCTTCGCGTATAGGCTGTGTTCTCGCAGCTTCGCTAGCACCTTGCGAACATGTTCGTCATGCTCCTCCTAAGTTTTTGAGTAGATGAGGATGTCATCGAGGTAGACGATCACCATTTGATCAAGAAACTCCCGAAAAACGTCGTTCGCCATGTGTTGGAAAACCGCTGGAGCATTTGTCAAGCCAAATGGCATGACAGTGTACTCGAAGTGGCCATAGCGGGTTCGGAATGCAGTCTTCCATTCATCACCAGGCCGGATCCAGATCAGGTTGTATGCTCCACGGAGGTCGATCTTGGTGAAGAAGCGGGCACCGCCGAGGCGTTCCAACAGGTCCGAGATCAGGGGCAGCGGATAACGGTTCTGAACAGTCACCTTGTTCAAACCTCGGTAGTCGATGACTAGCCGCAAGCTCCCATCCTTCTTCTTGACAAAGAAGACAGGCGCTCCAGCCGGGGACTGCGAATGCTGAATGTAGCCCGAGGCAAGGTTCTCATCCACGTACTCTTTGAGGGCCTTAAGCTTGGACGGGGATAACCCGTAGATAGGCCCCCACGGAGGTGATGCTCCTTCCTGTAAATCAATGGGACAATCATAAGGCCGATGAACAGGCAGTACACTAGCTTTTTTCTTGTCAAACACATCCCCAAAATCATGATACTTCTCAGGAAGACTGACAGGAGAAACATGCAAAGCAAAAAGAAAAAGAGGTTCTTCATGAAGGAGTTCTTTCATAGTGATTGTGGAGATAGGAGGAGGGGTACGACTAAATGGAATGATGAGACGAGGATACTGTCCAGTGTAAGATGGAAGAGAGGAAAAAGAAGAGGATGAAAACTGCGTAGAGTCAGGAACAGAACCCCGACTTGAGTTTAGGGAACTTTTCCTGATTCGGACTCGATGAACACCAGGGGAAGCCGTGGGAGATGGTGATGTGGGAGAGATGAGCTGTAAGTCCTTCCAACAAATCTGAGGCTGATGTAGTTGGAACCAAGGAAGACCGAGCACCACAGAGGAAGACTTGCTGTTGATGATGTTGAAGGCGATATCGGTGACGGTGGACCCGATGTGTACTTGAACGGGCAACGTTTCCCTAAGTCCAGAAGATGGAGACACAAAATGCCCGCCGATGCCTTCAACCCTCAGATCCCGTATAGTAGGAGAAAGAGGAACGTGATGTCGGGCAGCAAAGTCCGTGTCCATGAAGCAGGAAGTTGCACCCGAGTCCAGTAGCGCCAAAGCCTTGAGTCCTGATTGTCCGGTGAAAGAAAGGAGACATGGGACGCGGAAGTTGCGGGAATTGGTGGTGGCTTTGATGAAAGGTGGTGAGGAGCTTGATAAGGAAGAAAAGTGATTTTTATTTGGGGAGTCCAAACAGACAGCTCCTACTCTGTTTGGATAGGGTCGTTTCCCGACTGCAACAGTGGTGGACTTTGAGGCAGAGTGAACTCGAGCAATCGGGGAGGCTTCCTGGGACACACAGCTGCTTTGTGATTAGGATCAGCACAGTAGAGGCAAAGATTATGAGATATTTGACGTTGCCTCTCAGCAGGACTCAACTTCCCTCTAATGAGTCGGGGAGTACCAGAAATATCCATCGGGACCGGAGCAGTAGGTTCAGGACTATGCCCCGAAGACTCAAGCTGGGATTCCTGAGTCTGGGACGGAAAAATAGCGGCGCGGCGACTTTCCTGACGACGTTCAAAGAGACGATTGTCACATCGAACAGCTTTGTTGATGGTGTCCGACAGGTCCTTGGGATCCTCCATGGTGAGCAACAAATCCTTGACACCGTTGTTGAGGCCGAAACGAAATTGGTCAATCAGGGCCCGCTCATCCCACTGAGTGTCCAAGGCAAGGAGTTGGAACTCTGCAGCGTAGATCGAGGCAGGACGAGACCCCTGAGAGAGACGTCTCATCTTTGTGGTAGCAGCCCGAACCCGATCCGTCTCGCCAAAACATGCTTCGAGCTTCTCTTTGAACAATTGAAGATCCATCAGCTCCGGAACCACGACCCCTTTCATGCTCTTCTCCAGAAGAGGAGAAAACCATGACAAAGCTGCACCCTCGAGCAATGTCCCAATCGCGCCGATTTGAGACTCGGGAGTGGGGTACCGCCGATGATGAAGTGCAAAGATCAGCTCCATTTGATTCAAAAATCCACGAGGCTCCGAACGCTTGCCTGAAAATTTCGCCGGGAAACTCACCTTCGGTTCAGGAACTTTGCTGGATCCTTGAGCCGAAAGTGAAGCAAGCTCCTGCTGCATGCGAAGAAGGGTTGCCTTCAGCTCGGTATTCTCAGACTGGATTTTTGCAAGGACTTCAGCAAAGAAATCAGAATGGCTTGGAGACTCCATTGGCAAGAAGAAAGAAAAGAAAGGGGGGAAAAGACAAAGGCAATCAAATAATCAAAACAAGCTAAAAGAAAAGCAAAAAAACACAATCTGAATCAAACTGTCAAGACCCCCAACAAGATCAAGACTGGAAAATGCTAAAGACAAAGAGAAAAAGCTAGTGAAAACAAAGAAGAGGCCTTAGACTGGTGTTGATTCAGATTGTGGAGAAATGGAACAAGGCTAACCTATATATACTATAGGTTGATGAAGCTCCACCACTCTTGGATCGAGGACGGCCTAAATACAGCTGAGGTCGAGGAGGCGCCACATCATCATCAGGAATGTGACTCGAGACTCAGGAATCGGGAAGTGTCTCGAGAGTCAGGAATAGGGAAGTGTCTCGAGAGTCAGGAATAGGGAAGTGTCTCGAGAGTCAGGAATGTGGTCTGCAGGTCAGGAATCCGGCGAGAGTCAGGAATGTGGCAAGAATTGGGGGATTCCTGACACAAGCAGCAGCAACCTGCAAAACCTGCTCCTAGCGGAATGGGTAGTGTGGGTCATTGTTTCCATTGTGGAGAGTCGGGACATAGGTCCTTAGAATGTCCCAACAAGCATAAGACAAGGTCTCGTGTTAATGTCATGAGGGAAGACGGTGGTGGTGAAGCTGAAGGGGTTGACGAGTTGGTCAATGCAGACTATGAGGAAAAAGAGGTGAGTAACTTTTGTTGCTTTCCTCAAGCTTTTCTTGCAGTCAATGCAAACACTGATTCGTTGATGTATTTGGTAGGCTTTGTCTGTGGACACCGAATCCGAGTGATGATTGACACGAAAGCTACGCACAACGTGATATCCGAAGACTTAGTTAAGTTGTTAGGATTGAATGCGAGCAAATGTCACCTATGCACTTCCAGTTTGCAGAAGGTGGGCAAGTAGCTAGAAAGTTTGTGAGTGATGTTCCAATAAAAATATCCAAGTGGAAAGAAAGAGTAGACTTGGTAGTGTTGAAGATACTAGATTTTCAGATGGTGTTTGGTATGGATTTCTTCAACAAGTATATAAAAGGGATTTATGGTGCTGGACAAAGTCGTATCAAGTTGAAGTCAGAAGGACGTCCTAATGTATCCTTTCAGTTGCAAAAGCGTTCCTCAAAGGATTGGGATGCAAAGTTCCTGATTGCGAGGGCCGCTCAAAAAGCAGCTAAGAGGGGATGTCGGACCTTTTGGGTTCAAGTGATGGAAGCGGAGGGTGTTGGTGACTTAGTTCGAATCAGCGATGGGGTTGATCCTGATTGTGGAGAAATGGAACAAAGCTAATCTATATATACTATAGGTTGATGAAGCTCCACCACTCTTAGATCGAGAACGGCCTAAATATAGCTGAGGTCGAGGAGGCGCCACATCATCATCAGGAATCTGGCTCGAGACTCAAGAATCGTACAGGAAATCAGAGAGTCAGGAATAGGGAAGTGTCTTGAGAGTCAAAAATGTGGTCTGCAGGTCAAGAATCTGGTGAGAGTCAAGAATGTGGCAAGAATTGAGGGATTCCTGACAGTTGGGCTGCTAGACAAGGGAAAGACTCTGGTTGGCTTCCTCTGGAACCATTCGCATCTAGTAGCGATTTTGGCATCCTTCTCTTCACGACGAGTGTTGAAGTTCAGTGAAACACAATTTGCCTTCAACTTTCTTATGATGGAGAGATTGGTGGAGCTGAGGCCAAAGCTACAACAAATGTTTGTGAGCGACGCTTACAATGCAAGGCTAGAGTCAAGGACAGATTCTGGGATAGCATGCCAAGGAATTGTGTTCAACGATACATACTGGAACGAGGTTAACCACATGCTGGGTGTTTCAAGGAGGGTGATGTATTTGCTACGGATGGTTGACGGAGACGTGCCTGTGATTGGGAAGGTCTACGAGGGGATGGATCAGATGAGCGAGAACATCCGTCAACAAGAAGAGAACAATCTTAGGTATGAGGAGCTAAACCAACTGATTTCAAACAGGTGGTGGGCTTATCATAGCACCTTTCACTCCATGGCATACATGCTTGATCCAGAGTTTCAGGGGCGAGGACAGGAAAAATCCAGGGAAGTTTCCAAAGATTGGAACATGTACTTGGAGATCCAGTTCCCTGACTATCATGAAAGGTCAACTATAAAAAATCAGCTTTGCCAATACAGGAACTTGGAGGGTAGTTTTGGCACTAGGGACTCTCAGATGGATCATACAACAAAGGGTTCTATGCAGTGGTGGGAGGACAATGGCTACTCAGGTCCAGATTTGCAAAGGTTGACAATTTGAGTGCTTAGTCAGGCAAGTTCTTCTTCATCTGTGGAGCGATTGTTCAACATTTTTGGGCACATCACTTCAAAGAAGAGGAATTGCTTAGTAGTGAGCCGGATTGCAGACTTGGTATTTGTGGCCAATAATACCAAGTTGATAGGGAGCCACATTTCCTATGACAAGTTTGTGGGATTGAGCCAGACAGGAAATATTCCTCAAATTATTGATGCTGATATTGAAGGTATGGAAGAAGAGGACGAAGACGAAGATGATGATCTTGCTAATGAGGAGCTTCTAGATGAGATGGAGTGATAAGTAGAATATTCTAGAAAATATTTGTGTTTTCACCCGTGTTTATCCGTGTTCATTTCTGTGTTCCGTGTTCGTGTTCAAAAAATTGAATGCCATGTTCGTGTTCATGTTCGTGTTTTGAAGCTATGGCTAAGCTTTTTGAGCACCGCAATGTAGATTGGACCCCATCCTTGAGAAACGTCAGGGAGGACAATCCTGCCGTGCTCCGTCTTCTCGCCCACCGGCCACTGCCTGTGGATCACCTCGAAATCAAGCTTACCTTTCTCTATTGCCTGTCACTCCAAAGGTTAAAGCTGGAACCGCAAGAAAGAGGAAGAAAAAAATAAAGTATAAACAATGGCCTCAGTGCTCCCACATTTGAAATCACACTGTCATTCTCTAGCTGACTGAGTGAACACGTCGAGTAGACAATCCTACCATAGAGCTTGGCTGCTCGTAGAGCGGCAAACAAGAGTGCGAGCTGCCTCTTTGCACAATTCTCCGTGCGTCGGGGTGTCCATGTCCCGAGCTCCTTTGGATCGTGTAGCAAGTGTCGCTCAGAGGAACAAGGCGAGTCCACCAACACCTACGAACAAATACCCCGTGAACACGTTGATCATATTCCTAGCTAGCGTGAGCGAACGGTGCACCTTGTCATAGAGATCATACTCGGTCCACTTAATGCCATTGCGACGGGTGACTCGAATGGAAGTCCTTAGATTTTCTGGCACGTACTCGGAGATAACCTGCAAAGCTGAAACCCTGATCACTTGAAAGAAAAGAAGAAAATGAAAGAAGAAAAACTAAAAACGAAGAGTTCTGTACCTTCGACAGCCGCTTGCTCCTTGTTGGCGATGGCTCGTTTGCTACCAGCGAGGCTTGGAGGAGATCCAGCTGCTGTAAAATTCCCAGAGTTTTCCCTCCGGGAGCAGCACACAAATCCAAGACTTTGTCGCCCATCTCGAGATCCAGAGCCTCGGTGACAAGAACGGACGCGGCATCCATCAGGTAATAGTCGAAGACGTTCTGGGTGTCGCGCTCGGGATGAGGGAAGAGCTCGTTGGATTCGTAGGCCAGAAGCTTGAGGATGGAACTCAAGTGGAATTTGGCGATGGAGGAACGCTGGCGTCGTTGCAGCACTTGTTGACGAGGCATGCAACGCGGGGCTTTGACAAGAGGCACGCCATCAAGGAGCTCCACCGAGCGCTTCCATACTGTTCTTCGTAGAAGGCCGAGAAGGAGTGGAAAACGTTGGACTTTCTCTCCTTCTCGAGCTCTTGCTTGAGCAGCTTCTTCATCTTTGCTTTGGAGAGAGGCTTCTTACCGGATTGCTTCTTCGCATTCTTGCGTGGAAATCTAGCTCCTGCGCGTCCAGATCCGGCATTTCCACGGATTCATCGTCTACATCGACCTCCATCTCCAATTCCTCGTCAGAGCTCCAGGAATGTGTCTTTCTAACGCCGCGCCAGCGGCCGAGATAAGAGCCAGCGCGTGTAAATCGAGAGCTAGCGCCTAGGGAGATTCGCAGGCTAGAGACCCCACTCTTACCCCGATTGCGGCCCAGCATTCCTCCAAGACTTTGGGCCTAGGCTTCTTGAGCTAGGGTCTTGTTAGGGTTCTTGGGGGCGCGATGAGGAAGCTCAAATTCCACGAGCAGCGGCTGCTCAAGAAGGTGAATTTCTTGGAATGGAAGCGCGAGAGGAACTCGCGGGAGGTCCGCAGCGCTACAGGATCACCAGCCGCGACGATTACAAGCAGTGAGTAGCGTCTTTGTTTTCTCTCGCGAGCGCTGATTTTGTGTCCCTGTTTTGGTCAGCTATAACAAGATCTGTGGAATGGTTTCTAAGCTCACCAGCATTCTAAAGAAGCTCGATCCAAAAGATCCATTCCGGATACAAATGACTGACCAGGTGCTGGACAAATTGTAAGAAACATCACTCTTTTTTTTTCTTGTGCTCTTTGCTTAGAAATTCTTCCAGGTAGAACATGGGAATCATCCCGACGAAAAAGAGCTTGGCTCAATGCGAGAGTCTTGCTGCTTCAGCGCTTTGCAGGTAAAAAAACTTTCCATCTCTTTCCACTGAGAATCAAATATGTTGTTACTCTCTTCTCTTGTTTTCTCAGGAGGAGATTGGCAGTGGTGCTAGTGAAGCTCCACTTTGCCGAGAATCTCAAGGACGCAGTGACGTTTGTGGAGCAAGGACGTATCCTCTCTTTTTTTTGTTTTTTTTTTTTTTGTTTTCGCTAGATCAAAGAAGTTTTCCTTGACAGGCATGATCACAGATATCAGAGTAGGACCAGACACAATCACAGATCCAGCGTTTCTGGTGAGGAGAAACATGGAAGACTTTGTGACATGGGTTGACACTTCCAAGATCAAAAGGAAGGTGCTCCAGTACAACCTACGACCTCTTGAGCTAGATCATCTTTCGCTACTGCGAAGGTAAGTGGTCTCCAATGATATATGTTAGCGTACATCATACGCGGTCTCAAAAAGTCAAGTCAATGAGAAGTCAATCTACTCAATATGAAGTAAAAACGAGTAACAAAAGTCAATGATAAGTCAACAAGCACTTAAGTTCGCGAGCAGCGAAGGCGAAGCTACCATATTTGAGATTGTGGATAAATGTTTGAGGACCAAGCCCGTGAACGCTGTGCCATTGATTCAAAAAAAAGGAAGATGCCAAAAACCTCACGCACCTTGCAAACCTGGTCAATGCTTCTTGGAGAGAATGGCAAGAAAAAAATATGGAGTCTTGTGATAACATACCTCAGATTGGCACAAGCGCCTCCAGTAATGGCAAACGAATGCCACCCCTGTGAGCAGCTCAAAGATCTTAAGCAGTATCTCATCGGGGAGCCATTGATTTTGAAAATACTCCCTTATTAACATTGTAGAACATTTACTATTTGACATAGAGTTAGTGTTTAGCCCCATTGCCTTCTTGTTCGCGAGCTCTTGTTGTCCTTCCTTTGGCAAGAGATTTATAGCAAAATCAACAAAGTAGCCCGGATTAACTGCTCGCATAATAGTTTATCTTTGATAAGGAGATCTCGTCAAGCAAGCTGGATTCACTCAACTGGGGCTTCTTGCAAGCTTTAGAAACGATATGGAGAAAGCATCAAAATGAATCTTTCCAGTAGTCTGTGGTTTAGTCTTAGATAAAAAAAATTCTAGAAATTCATCCACGAGAAAGAAACAAAGACAAAATGTAGCCATAATAAGGAAGCTATGTTTTGAAAACCATTGGGATCCGTACCAGGAGCCCGTGGCGTCGTACTACGCCAAGTTCACGAGGAGGTGGATGGTGTACGCCAATGCCCGAAAGGTTTTATTGATCCAGCGAGATTCATAGCTCTTGTTCTTCTCACAGGCATTCAGCCAACGCAAAGATAGGTTTGTGAGTGGAAATTTCTTTCGTCGAATGATTTCCATCGAATGATCCATCCAGAACCCAGTGAATGAAAACTCTTCTCGATCACAAGCACAGGATGTTGCGAGCGTGAGCAGCAAGAGCTTAACAACAACACGATTGCAATCCAGGAGCCAGACTACCTCTTTCCAGTCGACGCCGCCACCAGAGCTCCAAGATCCAGGCCAGTGTCGCCATTCCCGTCTCCTACAACCGCGATTGATCCAGCCATCACGCAAAACCCCAATTTAAATGTATAATAACCATTAATAATAAAATATACCTAAGTATATTTTAACTATATTCCTAAGCAAACAAAAATGTATTATATTTTAGTTCTAAAATAGTCATTATTTACGTTGAAAACTATATTATATTCCACTTTATAATAATACTATAAGTTATATATACATTAAAAACTATATCAATCTATAATTTCAAAACTATGCTATCTATAATTATAGTTATATAAATTAGATTTCATGTTATGTATATTTATAATTCTATTCAATTCTACTTTATGTTTTACAAAAATCAGATTTCAAACCATATGATTTTTGTGAAAGCTATATCAAAATTAAAATAAAATATGCTGTGTTGAAGTAATCACATATGGATTGGGTTGGTATACTGGTTGGTAACATACATGTCCTGTATCTGGAGCCTTGGAGTTGGCTGAACACACAACGGAAACTTCATGATCTTAGCAGCTCCGCTAGACTCAGCAAAATCTATTTTATCCCCAGCTTTCCAGTCATAGCAGTGGAGCAGTGTAGCCAAAGTGAAGTGCACTATAGAGTTGCCAAGTGCAGAGCCTGGGCATGACCTGCGTCCAGAACCAAATGGAAGCAGCTCGAAGTTGACGTTCTGACCCAACACCTCAACCTCCTTATGTGGACCTGAAAGGAACCTCTCCGGGTCAAACTCGAGTGGATTATCCCACACCTTGGGGTCTCTTCCCATTGCGTATGTGTTGACAAAGACGGTTGTGTTGCATGGGATTGTGTAACCGTTGATGCTGCACTCTTGGTTAGCGTAATGAGGCACCAGGAGTGGGACTGGTGAGTGCAGCCTGAAGCCTTCCTTGATCACTGCCTGTAAGTAAGGCATCCTGGGAATGTCCGACTCTTTTACTTTGCGTCCGTGACCAACCACGGTATCTATTTCCTCTTGTGCTTTGGCAAGGACTTGAGGATGCATGATAAGCTCCGCCAAGGTCCACTCAAGGAACGAGGATGAGCTGTCGGTTCCACCTGTGATGAGATCCTGCAAATGTAACAGTGTCATTGATTCCTATAAAATATGTGAGCATCTTTTTAACTTACAAACACAGTCGCCTTGATCCTGTCATCGCTCATGAACGAAGCCTCCAGAATCATGTCAAGGAAATCCTCCTGAGAGTTTCCTCGGTTCGGCACACGGTGTTCATCCAGCATACGTTGCAGGAACTTGTCCAGTTCTCGCTGAACTTTTTTAGCCTGTGAGACCTTCCAGTCAAGGAACTCGAGCTGCGGGAAGAAGTCGGCAATGCTTCCAGCTACTCCAATTTTGATAGCATCGTCAACGACTTTCTTGAATGCAACTCCCTCTTCATACTCCTTGTCATCCGGCGGGGCTCCGTAGTACCGTTTGCCCATAAGCATTCTTGTGATGACGTTGTATGTCAGTCCAACAAGGTAATCCCTCATCTTGAAAGTGTTGAGTTGCTCTGACGCATTGGCTAGAGTCAAAACCAGCCATGAGAGCTCGTCCTCCTTGACATTTGTGAACATATCCAGTTTTTTGGCCGACAGGAGCTCCATAGCTAGAAATTTCCTGATCTCTCGCAGCTCTTTGGTGTAATCACTGAAGACGACATCTTGGAAGTTGTACAAGGCATGCTTTACGGAGATGAGCTTGGGCCTGGAAGCAAGAGCCAAGTCATTAGTCTTAAGAACCTGTTTAGCAGTAGATCTGTCCGAGACAACAACGACATTCATGTATCCGAGGCGGAGGGAGAAGATTGGCCCGTGGACGGCTGCAAGGCTCTGGAATAGTTGGTGAGGCTCTTTCCCGGAGGAAACAAAGTGGTGCAGATGACCAATGATTGGGAGTGACTGTGGGGAAGGAGGAAGCTGCTGCTTGTTTCCTTGGATCTTCTTCATCTTGTTCCTCAAGTACAACAGCAGTCCAAACGCTCCCATAGCTGATGCCGCAGCTGCACCATTCACAATCGTCTCCATTTGGAATGCGAGCCACTCCTTCCTCAGTGCCCTAGTTAAATTTATCTGCTGCCGCAACCATTTCTTCGCAAAGGAATAGCTGTTACCAATCCGTCAATCTCCAAAGAGTCCACAGAGGAGGACTAGCCTTTGTCATTGTTAGGCATCAGGTCAATCTCCAAAGACTCCACAGAGGAGGACTAGCCTTTGTCATCAGGTCAAGATACGGAAAAAACCTTATAGTCAAGTGATCACCTTTTTAATTAGTTGATTTAGGGTATAAAGGATAAAATCTTAATAGTCAGCAAAACTTCTCCCGAACTGTGGACTGAAGCGCCGTGTTTGACTTAAGTTTTGAAGCTTTGAACTTTGAACTTTTGAAGTTTTGATGTTTTGACGGAATAGTTGTTACCAATCAAAGAGTCCACAGAGGAGGACTGGCCTTTGTAAATTTCTCCCGAACTTCAAAGGTTTTCAAGCATTTAAGACAATCACGGCGCTTCAGTCATGAACGGTAGTTGCTCTGGAGGTATATAAATTGTGAAACAAAAAGCTTGCTACAGTCCTAAACTAATGGCGTGCACCGGCAATCTGTCCATCATGAGCAGCTGCTGGAAACTCTCGATGCTTTCTTTCCAGCCCAATCGGAGTGAGAGGCTAACATTTCGCTATATTGCACCCCAGCGGTCATGCCAGCGGTTTAGTGCGTCTCGTGTACTCCATGTTCCAAAAGCAACTCTGCAAACTGTAAGCAGTGGTGATGTTTTAAATTACACTTTTCACTTTTCTACATTGATGCAGGCATATGATACTCGAGAGTCTCCTTCCTGTAAGAAGTTGCCGGATTTGATAAATGAGGTTAGGCAAATGCTGCGGTTGGTGTCCGATGGTAACATCTCCATGTCACCTTATGACACTGCATGGGTTGCTCGGGTTCCATCTCCACTCAACAGCCAGCAACCGGAGTTCCCTCAGTGCCTCGACTGGATTGTGGAAAACCAGCGCCAGGATGGATCATGGGGAGACGAAGTCTTCAACATCTATGACCGGATTTTGTGTACTCTGTCTTGTATTCTTGCACTCAAGACATGGAACATACATGACGACGTCATTGCTACTGGTAAAAGCAATATCTTGGCTAGTACTGTATTAACACTATACTTCTGTAGGATTGGAGTTCATCCAGAAACATTAATGTGCTGAAGGAAGACAAGGGGGACTTGCTTGTAGGTTTCGAACTTATCTTTCCTCCGATGGTTGAGGAAGCAAAATCCCAAGGCTTACGCATTCCAAGTAACCATCTATTCATACAACTTCTAGAAGAACTACGGGAAGCTAAACTTAAAGGGTAAGAACTGTGTTTTTATATTTTTCCACAGGGTTCACAAGACCTGTTTTAGAATCTCGCTCGATACCATACACTCTGCTCCAACCACAGTGCTTTTTTCCCTGGAAGGGCTGCAAGAATGTATTGACTGGACGCAGATCTTGACATTGCAGTCAGAAGACGGATCCTTTTTAACGTCACCCTCTTCTACAGCATGCGTGTACCTCCACACCAAAGATGAAAAATGCCTCACGTACTTGCGGAACTTGGTCAAACTGCACAAGAATGCAGGTAATTAATTATCTCATGCATGCACATATATACATTTACCTTTATACAGTGCCCGATTTTTATCCATTGGACATGTTTGAACGTCTGTGGGTGGTTGACACCCTTCAACGCCTAGGCATCGATCGTTTCTTCAAACAAGAGATTAAGGAGATACTTGACTATGTTTACAGGTAGCTAAAGGCATATTTTGGCATTTATTTTTATATATTATGATTCAGGTACTGGGACGATAAAAAGGGCATTGGCTGGGCAAGAAACGTCTCTGTACCTGAGCTAGATTGCTCAGGTATGGGATTTAGACTTCTCAGATTGAACGGCTATGACGTGTCGGCTGGTATGATTTGGCTATTACAGCTAGTTTGACTCTAACAAGTGCATATGTGTTACAGACGTCTTCACAAACTTCATGAAAGATGGGAAGTTCTTTTGCTTCTCTGGGGAACGGAGTCATGGAATATCTGACGTCTTCTCATTGTTCAGAGCTTCTCAAGTAGCATATCCAAAAGAGGCTATACTAGATCAAGCCCATGCTTATTCACAGCAGTATCTTTCACACCTCCATGACCACGGTTTGGACAAATGGGCTTTTAAAAATGACCTTTCTGGCGAGGTATAACATATATTTCTATTAATCAATATTCATGCATTTACAGGTGACTTTCGAGCTGAACAATGCCTTTTGTTCATGCCCTCCAAGGCTGTATGCGAAGTCCTACATATCGAAGTACGGGACAGATGACTCATGGATAGCAAAAACCATTTACAGGTGCACTCCCCTCTACACACACATGCATATCACAATAATGTATAAGTGCAGGCTACCTAATGTCAACAATGCCGCTTTTCTGGAAATGGCGAAACAAGATTACGACTTTTGCAGATCAGTTCTGCAAGATGAAACTGCTGAACTATCCAGGTATGCTTGCTTCTTTTTTTCTCTCTAATATTTCGACACTTGCATTTTCATAAACAGATGGTGGTCCAGCACTGGAATTTCATTCACAAGCAAGCGGGTGAAGTTGACAGACCACCTGGTGAACAGGCTTCACTTTCAAATCGCTGCTTATATTTTTGAACCCGAGCTTTCTGCTATGAGGCTTGCGTACACTAAAGCAGCATGTCTTGTTGTTGCTTGTGACGACCTTGCCGATCATTTTCTGGATGCCAGAGAATATCAAGAGCTAGTTGCATCAATAGAGAGGTACGGTAGGTCTTGATGGATTATTGATTAACGCATGACTGTTTCTGAAGATGGGATGATCCCTCAGCGACAAAGCTGACTGATGACGCTAAGTCATTTTATCATGCTGTATACACCACACTGAATGAGCTCATGCAAGAAGCATCGAAAGCATGTGTTTCCACGAGCGGAATAATCTCACGCCAGGTACATACAGCTCATGTACTATATTTTGCTTGACATTTGGTCCATTGGTTATAGTTTGCAGTGTATGCCAAGTCTGTGGTTGGTGAAGTCACGCAGAGGGGCAATACTAGCATGCCTACACTTGAAGAGTACCTGAAAAAGTCAAGGCCAAGAACTGGAATTCCAGCCGTAATAATCTGTTCTTTGCCATTCTGCGGAATAGACATGGACCTGGAAACGCTGGAAAGAGCTTCAAATTGCAAAGAAATGGAGCTGACTTGTGATATTATAAGATTATCAAATGATCTTGCAACATATAAGGTAAGCCCTGGTGCCAACTCGATCTACCATGTTACAGCTTTATATATGCAGGTTGAGATGGAAAATGGCCTGAGCATCTCTAGCATCACAGCTTACCTCAATTATTGTCCAGAAACTTCTAAAGAGGATGCTGTTAAAAAAGTAACTGAGATTCTTGATCAGAAAACAAAGGAGCTGATTCAAGTCTACACCCAGCAAAGTAAAGACGGGCTTCCTCAGCTAGTGAGAAGAATTATATTTGAGACTGCACGTACAGCCCGCTTGGTCTATGCAAATGGTATCAAGGAATCACGAGATGAACTCAAGCTTCCCGGCGATGACATGCAGACCGTTATAAGGAATATCATAGGTACCAAAGGTGATGTTGAGCCTTCCCACATAAATTAATATAGAAATTGAAAAATGTATTCTTGTAAACATATTAGAATATTCAATGACGTGGCTTCCCTATAATCGTTTAAAATTTTTTCTGTAAATTCTATTGATATTTATTTTTATTTAAAATATTTCTTCTCTATTGTTTCTTACGTCATTTCACTATCTGGACCCTGAAAAGATTTACAGAAACTTCTGAATGTCTCAACCTCTAGAACTGAATACTGACAGTGTCAGAGGTCATAATTCCACATAAGCATGTCAACATGGTCTCAAAGCGGTTGCTTATAAAGTCAGTAGACTTTCCTGACAGAGAGAAGACTATTGTTGACCTGGACTGGTTAATACCTGTGGCATATTCATAGTCCGAATGTGGGAAAAACTCTCCCAGTCTCCAATCCAAGCCACAATCTTGCTGTAATGTAATGTGCAACAAAGTATTCATTGCAAAACAATTGCCAGTTCTAAAGAGGGTGCTGTTAAGAAAGTAGCTAAGATTCTTGATCAGAAAACAAAGGAGCTGATTCAAGTCTACACCCAATAAAGTAAAGACGGGCTTCCTCCACTAATGAGAAGAACTAAGAGTGCAGACGCACTTCACAAAGTCACTTTATCTTGACTCACTTCATTTCACCATCTGGACCCCGAAAAGATTCACAGAAACTTCTGAATGTCTCAATCTCTAGGACTGAATACCGAAAGTATCGGCGGTCATAATTCCACCTAAGCATGCCCCATGGTCTAAGTTACAAAGCAGACTTGATGTGCTTCCTGACTGAAAGGTGTAGAGAGAAGACTGTTGTTGACCTGGACTGGTTAATACCTGTGGCCCCAGTCTCCAAATCCAAGCCACACTTTTGCTCTAATGTATTCATTGGGCCCCTGTTCTAAAGACGATGCTGTTAAGAAAGTAGCTAGAAAACAAAGGAGCCGATTCAAGTCTACACCCAACAAAGTACAATTGACTGGTTGACCTATTGTTACTTCATTTCACCATCTGGACCCTAAAAAGATTCACAAAAACTTCGAAACAAACTTCTGAATGTCTCAATCTCTAGCCAAAAGTGTGGGCAGTCATTCCACACAAGCATGCCACCATGGTCTAAGTTACAAAGCAGACTTGATGCGAGTGGTTGTTGCTTTTAAAGTCAGTAAACCCTGCGTTTGAACGCAGGAAATTTCCTGACTGAAGGTTGTAGAGAGGTTTCATGAGCTGGTCAGGCAGTCTCATAGTATTCATCGGGCCCCAAAACAATGGGCTCAGCAACAACCATTCGCATCACGTTGGCTCATGGTTTAAATACAATGCAAGATCCATGCCCGCACCCTGCCACTGATCAAGATGGAGCTTTTGGATCTTGTGATAGCTTCTTGCATTCTCGCCTTGAGTTGCACATGGCTTATGAGCTTCCGTAAGCCTCAAGGCAGGCTTCCACCCGGACCATTGTCTATCCCTCTCTTTGGTAGCATTTTCTCTCTGAAGCAACCTCTGCATGAGCATTTCATACATCTTAGCAAGAAGTATGGTCCCCTCATCTATTTAAAAGTCGGTATGTGCGACCTTTTAGTGGCCAACAACTCCGCCATGGCCAAGGAAGTGCTCCAGACCCACGATGTTGAGTTTGCCTACAGGCCAGACACAAGGAGTTTCCGCTTGTTCAGTTTGGGGTACAAAGATCTCCTCTTTGCACCTTATGGCGACTCCTGGAAGAAGCTACGAAAAGTCTCTACTACACATATGTTTACATCCTCCAAGCTCAACATTTCAGCAAGACAACGCGAGACGGAGCTGCTCTCAATCATTCGCTCTATCAAAACATCCTTTGACAGCGGTAATTCGGTCGAGCTGAGAGACTTGGTGGCAGAATACAATACGAACGTCATCTGCCTCATGCTGTTCGGACAAAAGCTGGAGGCTGCTAAAACAGTTGTGGGTCTAGTGGAGAAAACGGCCAGCTTATCGTTACTAATAAATATTGGTGAGCTGTTCCCTCTTATGGACTGGCTCGACCTCCATGGAATTTATAAAATCATGAAGAAGGAGATCCTGCCAGACATCAAGAAAGTCCTTGGTGAGATAATAGAACAGCGCAACGGCACACGAAAGGAAGGACAGGAGGCTCGGGACATTCTGGATGTCTTGTTGACCCTCAAAGATGATGATGGCGTATCAGAGGCTTCTGTGATGGCGTTGTTAATGGTAATGTTTCGTCTTGACGTTTTATTCATTTATTTATTTCATATTATTTTCCATGGTGATGACAGGATATGATCACTGCTGGATTAGAAAGCTCCCAAAACGTGGCTGAATTCTCCATCGCCGAGTCGCTGAATCATCCGCATATCATACAAAGGGCCCAGCAGGAACTTGACGCTGTTGTCGGGAGAAAGAGGCTTGTACGTGAAGAAGATCTGGTAAAGCTGCCGTACGTGCAAGGAATTGTCAAGGAAACACTGAGGATGCATCCACCGGGTCCTCTTGGGATTCCTCACGCCAACCCAAAGCCTGTCAGTATCGCTGGATACACAGTGCCAGCCAACTGCAAAGTTCTCGTCAACATGTGGGCCATCGGACGAGATCCGGCTTGCTGGGATCGTGCTGAGGAGTTTCTGCCCGAGCGTTTTATCAACTCAGATTACGATGTCGCCGGTAATCACTTCCATTTTATACCGTTCTCGGCTGGGAGGAGGATCTGTGTCGGTTACCCATTGGCAATGAGATCTATCCCTTTGGTTGTGGCAACTCTTCTCCACTCGTTTGAATGGAAGCGACAGGATGGAAATAGCTTGGAGACTGCAAAGGGACTTCTCTCAATCAAGCTTGCCTCCAAAATCAATCTCTCTGGCCATCCCCGCTTGGACGAGTCGGCGTACTATTAATAAAGCATGCTAAAATTGAAGCAAAAGGGGAAAAATTTTCCAGTTTTAAGTGTAGCGACCGTGTTGGGATGTGTCATCTTCGACAGATTCGGGCTGCTAGGAGCCGAGATCAATTGCAAACTTTGGAGATGGTAAGCAGAAATGCCTCAAACCGAGCTTCCTGATAGCTTTTTTTGATGATCTTTCAGCTCACATCGATTTTGTACTGCAGTTTTTCAAACGATAAGAGAAATGTGTCTTGAAACTAAAAGAATCCTACCTGTAGCGGCGGACCTTCAATTCGATACCGGAGCAGGACACTGTATCCCTGAACATCATGCTCGTTGCTCATCTTCGCGCGGGGAATCTTCATCAATTCTTCGAGGCATTGCCGGAGAAAGATCTAGTTTCTTGGACAGGGCTGGTCAGCACTGCTCCACTCTGTATGACCACAAGTCAAGTAAAGTGGCCTCGAGAACGATCCGGAACTTGTTCCAGCGACGGAGAGATGTTACCTGTGTCCCTCTTAATAAGGAGCAGCCTGCGCAGGACGAGAAGGGAAGATTACAAAAGATGAGAATTTCTTCTAGTTGCACCGGTGACATGGAAGAGGCGGGCATTCGATTGCACTCGTGGACGATTGCTCTTGATGAAAACAAACAGACACCAGCTTGAAGGCTTAAGCCTGCAGAGACTTGACCCTTGCCGCCAGCTCCCTTTACCTGGCTACGCAGCCGATCAGGAGCACAGAAAAAGTTGACAAACACCTGCTTCTCCCTGCCAACCTCGTGCGGGTGGTGCTTGACAATCTGCGTGCAATGGAATTAACGAACGGTGAGGCCTTGTAAAATCTGCCCGTACCTCTGCCTTCTCCCGGTGCTCGCGGGTGACTTCCTCTATTGCCGACGACAGCTGGGAATTCACCTTTTCCATGTCCGCCAGCTCTTTCATCAACGGCTGTTCGGCGGCGCAGCACGAAACCGAGTGTTAGCACGAGCAGGGCGGGGGGCGAGTTTGCATACCCAAGGAGTTACGAATTGGTTGCGCAGACGTCGATGACGCAAAAAGAAGCTGCTGCATTCTTCTGATCATGGTCAGGCTGCAACAAGAACAAGACGAGCATTAGATTGACGTGGCACCTGGGATGATAGATAACAAACAACTCACAGCTCGCTTATGCATTTCGCTTTGTCCTCGGAATTGTCCAGCTCCAGTTGCAGGGATTGCAACTCAGCCTGCAAGTTGTTAACCTGCTGCACTAGACCGGGAACCGACACGCAGATTGGAATGGCTCCCTGTTCATCTGTAAAGCCAGGCATGAGTCCCTTTCGCGTTTGCGGAGCAGCCTTACATGTATATATATATGTTCAAGACGTCTCTAACGCGATGCAGAAAAGTGTCGTGATCATCCACAGCGCCATGCTCTTGTGCTTCGGCACCCGCTTGCGACAGTGATAGGACCGGTCCTGAGAAACCACAGAAAGAGAAGGCGCGTGAAACAGGTCAGGAAATGGCACTACTCTATTCGCGATCCGATCTTACAATGTGCCCGATGGTAGCCTGGGTGTATCCGTCCAGCTCTGACTCTATTGCCCTCAGCAGCTCGAAGGCGCCGTTCATGGACCTCCTCTCAAGGTGGCATGCGATCTCAAGGAAACGATGCCGAGCGAGTTGGCAGACCAAGTGGCTGATGAAATAGCAGGCACCGCACCAAAACTCGTTAAAAACAACAACGCGGGATCATCAACTTGATTGAAAGCTCAACCCGTTTCTGTTGCGAGATGTAGTACTCCTGCCGCATGACCTTGACGTCATAGTCTCCTGAAAACAACTGTTTAGCCACAGATTAAAGTATGTAACGGGGCGATCACCTCGTAAAATATACGTGTCTTGAAGTTGCGCGAGTTCCCAACACAGAGAAGGAACGGCCTGCGGCATGCAACATGACTTTCATAGGGCCTGGAAAACTCAGACTTGCCTCAGAAAGAAGCTTGTCCTCCTTCAAAACAAGTGGATGCAGCTCGCCTCCTACCTCTGCATTCCTCCGCCTTCGCCACTAGATTCGTCAACCGACGCAGCGTAAATAGAGAATGCCGCCTACCTTAACGACTGGAGATCTGAATGGACATATGCTTGATTGGCGGAAGCCTGCAACTTGGCAGTCGCAAGCACTGCCAGCTGCTTCGCCTTTTCAACTTGAGCGTCAATCCACTTCCTCTCGCTTATGCCGAAGCTGTCCTATTCCACAGAGAACAAGACAAGGAGTTACAGCAGCTAGCGCACAAGATCAGAACAAGACGTGTACATAGAGCGGAGGCGCTGCAGTTCCAAAACTCGCCTGTGATGGCTCTTCTCGGAGTCTCCTGAACAAGAGGGAGAGCTAGTCAGTTAGGAGAAAGCAACTGTGCCGGCCGTGTTTACCTTGGGTCACAAGATCATCCAGTGTCACCCACGAACATTTCGATATTCCTTCTTCGGCTACTAACCGGGAGGGACCCTGCGACCCGTGAGCATCATCGTCAAATCGACGTGTTCGCAAGCACACAAAAGTGGCTTACCACATCAAACTGCTTCACAAACCACTCGTTGAGCTGCTTTGTACAGGCTTGATCTTGAACCAGAAAATGACCCAAGTCGGCAAACGAAAGAAAGATCCCTTGCTCTGCAGCTCCCAAACCGTGTTAAGAAAAACGTAAAAGGAGAAAGCAAAGCACCACCTTCGCCCGAGTGATAGTGCGCAAGCTCTCTGGAGGACGAGGCAAGCTTGTCAAGAACAGCGTTCATCTGCGAGTGAATTGTGAATGCCTAGCCAGCTTTTCCTTGACGCACCTCTAAGTTGCGACTAGCCAGCTTCTCCTCGGCGACCATCATCTGGTTGCCCGCGGCGGACGCAACAGCAACTCTGGCTCTGCGCCCTTCAATGAGCGACGACGTGTAGGCCGTGAGCGAGTCCATGTGTGCTTGCAGAAGCTGGACCCTCCGCTGCAATGCGGAAGCCTCTTCTTTCAGGCAGTGCGTGCCTTTCCTGAGGAGACAAACACGGGGGAGGAGTCAAGAAAAAGAGGAGGCTGGATCATGGATAGGATACCGGATTTCCTAGAGGGACTCCTCAGCACCCAAGACGGCCTCCTGCGTTGACCTCTTGCTCTCAAACGCGGAGATGCTGTCGTAGGCAAAATCCAGGTCTTCGCCCTGCCAGGCGCGCTGGATGACACAAGGAAAGAGAGCAGCAGCAAGCTCACCTGGAGAAGCTTTCCCTGGCTGAGCAGCTGGGTGAAGTGATGGAGCTCGGGTACAGTGAGTACATTGGATGTTCGCAGATTCAGTCGAGGAGTGGCCTCGTCTCTTCGTAGGAAGGGCCACTCGTAGCTGTTTATTTGCCAGGAATCGTAGCCAGGAGCGTGCACAGGAGCCGCGCACCGAAAACCGGGAATGTTTTTTTAGGGCAAAAGGGTACCCAGGAGGGAGGGAGAGAGAGAGAGAGAGAGAGAGGCCATCCATCCAGCAAGCTTGCCAGCGCAAATCATCCAAGACCACATCTCTCCAAGTAGGAGCACGCGCGCTGTCCTCGCTCTTCCAACTTTCACCTCTAATTTGACTGCCAGGGCTCGCCCTCAATGACTTCCTCTCCCCGAGGTCCAGCGTTTCAGCTCCTGCCCGAATGAATGCCATGGTCTGCGATAGGTGAGCCGCGCGCAATTTTCCATCTTATGTTGTATGATCTTGCTTCAGTAAAAAGGCATGGAAGGTGGTATTGCCGGTGAGACGGAAAGAGGTGATGCAACACAGCCTCCGCAGCCGGTTCTCGGACAAGGTAAACCACAGCACCAAAAATCTCCGGTGTATCTGATGCTTCTCACAGGCACGGAAGCGAGATTTGGACATACCATCGCTGCAGGGACTTCGAAGCCATACGCTCCGTGGTGGCTGACAACCAAGGCCTTGACGACTTTGTGTAAAGTGTAGGATCCTTTGGAACGCCGCCTGCTTGAGCAAGGCATCACTCCGGTTTACGATCCAGCGCACAAAGAGCTTCCGTGCTACAGGCAACTCGTTGGACCTCCGACTCTTTCTCAACACCCCAGGCCCCAAGACCGGTGGCCATTTGCAGTGCCACATTTACAGGAAGCACGAGCCCAACATGCTCTACTCAAGGTAACTGTCTCTATTTCACTCTCTCCATCCGGATGATATAACTTGTCGTCTGCTCTAAGGTACAAGCTCTTGTCTGCCAGGAAGAGGAAAAAGAGCAAGACCAGTAACTACGCCATCTCCATTGCGAGAACGAGACAGGGAACTACTTTGGAAAGGTCTACTCTACAACTCTTGAACACTCTCAGTCCTCATCATTTTGCAATCCCGCAGCTGCGTTCCAATTTTGTGAGAACGGAGTTTCTGGTTTATGACAAAGGCGACCGCCCGCCGTTTGGCCCCGGTAAATGGGTTGGTGCTTCAGGCTTTCTCAAACCTTGGCTGGCTGCTCGGGCTTTTTGACTCGCGCTGGGTAAACTTGACAGCTTGTCGTCCAAGAGCGTGAGAATGGAGGTTGGCGGCGTCATCTACCGCAGGAATGTGTTTGGAGGAGGCCGCCGGAAAATGACGGCCGTCATACCTGCATTGTCTGCAGAGGACCTCAAGCCAAATATCTTCCAGCCGCTGTCGAAGGGCTCAAGCACCATCCTAGACAAGTACAAGAGCGGTGTCGTTGATCTTCTTGGTTGAGCGTCACTCATTCCATCCATAAACGATCGAGAGAGCTGACTCGTGGAGCTTGAAACAGGGATTCTCGCGGGAGCTACAGTTCTAGCAGCGGTGGTGATCGCGCTGGCGCTGCTCACCGCCCGCTCGCGTCATCACCGCCGCCGCCTGTCCACCACCTTCCGCAGCATGCGCGGCACCAAGCAGCTCGCCAAGCTCGTCTCGCGCACCAGCAGCTCCAAGGCTGTCACCCTCTTCTCCTACAAGGACCTGGAGCGCGCCACCAAGGACTTCTCCCCGACCCAGATGCTCGGCCATGGCGGCCACGGCACTGTCTACAAGGGCAAGCTCCCGGACGGCCGCGACGTCGCGGTGAAGCGCATCAATCACATAAGCTCCCACGGGGTCGAGCAAGTTCTCAAGTTTTGCTAAGCGTCAGCCACCCCAATCTCGTCCAACTCCTCGGCTGCTGCCTCGAGGTCTGAGTTCGTCCCCAATGGGACGCTGGCGGAGCACCTCCAGCGGGAGCGCGGCGATGGACTCGACTGGTTCACCCGGGTGGCAATCGCGGCGGATGCGGCACAGGGCATCGCGTATCTCCACTCGCGCTCGCCGCCGATTTACCACCGCGACGTAAAGTCAACGAACATTCTCCTGGACGACGAAAGTTGCCGACTTTGAGGCCAGCCACGTGTCCACCGCGGCGCAAGGCACGCCCGGGTACGTGGACCCGGACTACCACCAGAGCTTCCAGCTGTCCGACAAGAGTGACGTGTACAGCTTCGGGGTGGTGCTGGTGGAGATGATCACTAGCATGAAGGTGGTTGACTTCACGCGCGACAAGCGGGAGGTCAACCTGGCGGCGCTGGCGGTCGGCAAGATCGCCACCGACTGCCTGGATGAGATCATTGACCCGGCGCTCATGATCCAGGCGTGCAGGAACCCGGTGGTGAGGTGTATGATCCAGAGGATGGCGGAGCTCGCGTTTCGGTGCCTGGCGCACGAGAAGGACGCGAGGCCGAGCATGGCGGAGGTTTTTGACGAAGTGGAGAGGATCCGGCATTCGTGCCTCTCGCCCGGGGATCACTCGCCTATCCGGGACATCAAGATTGATGAGGTAAAGATCTCTGTTCTTTGCTCTGTTGATGATGGTGATTTTGCGTTTTTGTTCTTCCAGAGCTTGCTGACTCCAAGGTGATGGGAAAGGCGGGAGGGACTAACTTGTAGATAGACAAATAAAAACGAGAAAAATGCTTGTAAATGCAGAAAAAGTGGAGGAAATGTTTAGGCGGGAACCCTCTAAAGTCAATGGTAGTCAACACTACAGCGTCAGCGTGGGTTTGACATCATCATATACATCTGAGCTTCTTCCGTTTGAAATCCACACTTTGCAGCACATCAGGATCCGTGGCGCAATGGTAGCGCGTCTGACTCCAGATCAGAAGGCTGCGTGTTCGAGTCACGCCGGGTTCATTACGTTGGTTTCATGATGTTGTGAATGATTTCATAACATTTGGCCATTTGGTCCACCCCTCTTGCAAACGCCCGCTTTGGGCATAGCATTTTGGCGAGTGATTCATTAAGAAACTCATCCCACCCTTTGAAGCGTATCTAGATTCTCTGGCGGGCACATGCATGGAAATCCATTTAGATTGACCCGAAGTGCGTGTCTTGTTGTCCCTCACACTAAAAGCTTTGCCACAGGCTTTCTTTTTGGGCTCCACCAGAAGCATTTGATTTAGCAGTGGATCTACAAGCTTGGATCACCCATGATCAGAGATCCATCTATATACCAATCTATGGCCGATCGATTGATTGGTGATCTTAGCTGTAAGTTCTAACTCGTTTGGTGGTGTGTTTCAATCAAAGATCATACGACCTGCAATGTCTTTTTCCTTGAACGCCACGACAAGAAGGATAGAAAAGGTTCGAAAGAATGGGATGGAATCTTGGAAGAATCTTAGAGCTCTAGCTTGTAAATTCCCAATTTTTCCAGTTATACTCATCCAACTGGCCACATTATTGCAAAGACCGTAGAAATGGCCCCACGCGTCGGGCTCGTATAACTGACCTGACGTGGCATGCCGGGATGACGTGGCGGGGCCCGCGCTAACGGCTTTGACGTGCCACGAAGGCGCTCTTTTCTGACGTGTCAGTCTTTGCCATCTGGGCGTCCAAGCGATCCTGGCCGTTGGTCTGGGCCGCTGCGAGCTAGGGTTTCTAGGAAGGAGCTAGCTGATCGTGGTGGAGCTCGAGCTGGAAGCGCGGTGCTTTCGAGGTGGGAGAGCGTTTGCGTATCTTCTTTTGCCGGATTTCGTCGGAAATCACTCTCGCGGGGGCGATTCGGCGCAATGCAGGCGCTCCGGGCTTGCAATCGGGATTATAAGCTCAGGTTGTAGTGATTTGGGGTGGAAGCGAGCAAGATGACTGCCGATACAGAGGCGCCGCCCCGGAAATCCACACGGCAGGGGGAAGCGCTCATCCAGAGGGCCGATAGCATGTCTCTGATTCACTTGCTAAGCAGAGAAGTGAGGCCGGAGAGGGTCGAGAGACCCGTGTTGCAGTATGGCCATGCGGCGCAGTCCAAAAAGGGGGAGGATTTCGTGCTTGTCAAGACCGATTGCCAGAGAGTTCCCGGCGATGGATCATCCACATTTGGAGTTTTTGCGGTGAGTAGCTCTACTCAAAATGGGGACGGAGTTTTTTCTTCTCTCTTTTTTCCTGACGGAGTCTTTCTACCAGATTTTTGACGGACACAATGGAGCCGCGGCGGCGATTTACTCGAAGGAGAACCTGGTGAACGACGTGATGGGCGCTGTTCCTTCCGGGCTAAGCAGGGAGGAATGGCTAGCCCTTCTCCCTCGGGCTCTTGTCGCTGGATTCGTGAAGGCCGATAAGGAGTTCCAAAGAAGAGGTAGTCTTTAAAACTTGGACATGGTTTCAGGAAAACTGATGCTCGTTTCCTTTCTCTAGAGCAATCCTCGGGCACCACTGCGACTTTCGTAGTTATCGATGGATTGACAGTCACTGCTGCCTCGGTCGGGGATTCGCGCTGCATCTTGGACTCGGAGGGAGCTGTCATAACACTGACCGTGGATCACCGTCTCGAAGTAAACGAAGAAGAGTAAGTTTGCTACCTGTTGTCGTTGGAGTACTGTAGCTGATGCTTTCGCGTTAAAACGCCGTAGGCGGGTTCGAGTTACAGCTAGTGGTGGTGAGGTCGGGAGATTGAGCACTGCAGCTGGTGCCGAGGTGACTTAAGCTCTTTTGTGTTTTTCTCTGACAGGACTGAATGATTGAGCTCTATAGGTTGGGCCATTGAGATGTTGGCCGGGAGGGCTTTGTCTTTCGAGGTCCATTGGTGACATGGACGTCGGGGAGTTTATTGTCCCTGTGCCATACGTGAAACAAATCAAGGTAGAGTTCCTCATTTCCTCTTCTCTGTTCCAATGCACGGCGTTTGCCGCTCCCTTGCAGGTACCTGCTTCTGGCGGGAGGCTGATCATCGCCACGGACGGCGTTTGGGATGCCTTGAACTCTGAGCAAGCCGCCAAATACGCTCGGGGTTTACCCCCAGAGATTGCAGCCAAGCAGATTGTGAAGGTGCTGTCGTTTGGTTTTTTCTCCGATAGAGATCTAAACTTTCTCTGCCGGAAACAAACAAACTTTGTCTAGGAGGCGCTGCGCAGCAGGGGCTTACGCGACGATACGACTTGCTTGGTCGTGGATATTGTACCACCGCCAGTGAGGCCCACTGCCCCAGTCGCCAAGAAACAAAGCAGGATTCTCAAAGTCCTCGACTTTCGTCACTCGTTTAACGTCTCGAAGCTGACGCGCAAGCCGGCTGGCACCAGAAGACAAGTGGAAGAAATTTTTGAGGAAGGCTCTGCAATGCTCGCCGACAGGTTCGTTGTCGTTTATATTTTGGAGTTGGGCAGAATGGACTTTGTTTTTCTGCGTTTGTTTGTTTTGTTTCGCTTGCATGTGGGATAGTGGCGCTAACACTGTTTCTTTTCTCGCGCTTGTGTAGATTATTCCCGGCCCCTGGAGGAGAGGGCGTGTTGAAATGCGCGATCTGCCAGGAGATGCTGACGGTGAGCAGCGATGACGAGAACGATGGCTCTTTTTTCTCGCTCAGCCCCGACGAGAGCTGGGAAGGCCCGTTCCTGTGCAAGACTTGCAAGCTCAAGAAGGACGCCATGGAGGGCAAGCTTTGCAAGCAGCGGCTTCAATCGCAAACCAATGGAGCTTGACTTTACGAGTAACAGAACAAAGCGCCAACAAAAAGCGCAGAGAGGATCAACCACAAAGAGGTGATTTTTTTTCCTTCTCTTTTTATTTTTTCAACTTTTTTGTGGGACGTGCTTTTAGAAGCCAAAATGTTAATATCTATTAAGTAAAGGCCTTTTGCTTGTTACTCGATAAAACGATGTTGATGGATGTGTTGTTGAGAGTGGGATTTGAACCCACGCCCTTGCGGACCAGAACCTTAATCTGGCGCCTTAGACCAACTCGGCCATCTCAACTTAAGGCATAATCAAGGCTCGTGGTTATGTTCTTCACATGATTTCTTCTAAATTCCTTCCAACAAAACCATGAAGCCAACGTGACTCGAACATGCACCCTTGAAGTCAGACGCGCTAGCCATTCATGTAAATTGTGTATAAATGTTTTTTAAAAAAAGTAGCATATGCTAGTATATTCTTTTATACACAATTTCTTTTTTTATTTTTTCAAAAAATGTCATATCATATGGATTTAAATCGGGGTGGATTTGTCATCTGGGCCGAGGGGAAGTTTTCATCAGGGGTAATTAGCCAGACCCGTACATCGGAATCAAGGCTGCCGCTGTAAACCACAAATTCATGAATGCTACTAGCAGCTCCATGGTCATTTTCTACGTCCGCTCTTCCCGGAGAGGAAGACTTCAGAAGAGGAGCGACGGCCAGGGCCTTGACAGGGCCGAAGTGACCCTCGAGCAGCGCAATGCAGGCGTGTAGAGATCCGCCAGGGCTCTTCCTCCAAACCCTAACGCTCCTGTCAGCTGAACCGCTGCATAGGAAGTCCCCCATGGCCGCCAGGCACAGCACTGCTTGCCTGTGCCCGCGCAGCGCCCCCAGCAAGCTCATGTGGTTGGCGCTCTCCTCGCGCTCCCACACCAGGATCTTTCGATCCGAGGAGCCCGAGTAGAGCAGCTGCTCGTCCGGGGAGAGGACCATGGCGTTCACTCCCGACTTGTGGCCCTCAAGCGTGGCGAGCAGCGCGTGTCGGCATCGCTTGTGCGATGACGATGATCTAGCGAGAAGCTTGAATCTTGTGATCATCCTCTTTCTAGCTATGGCGGATGTTCTTTCCCAGGCTTTGATCTTGGCGTCCGCGGAGCAAGTGTAGAGGAAGCCGGAGGAGGACGATACCAGGGAATTGATGGCGTCTTCGTGGGCTTCCACCGATTCCAGGCATTTGAAGTCGGAGGATCGCCACACCTTGAAGGTTTTGTCCCAGGACGCCGAGAAGATGAGGCTCCCGTCGGGGCTGGTTGCCAGGCAGGATATCACGTCAGAGTGCTGGATCCACAAGCTCTTGCGATGGCGGCGGATCTTGACGTAGTTCCTGGCCGGGATGAAAGTGACGAGCCTGTTCCACACCGTGGGGACCGTGGCGACGTGCTTTGCACGAAACTTTGTCACGGTCGACTTTCGAGGACGACGATCGTGATCATCCTTTGACGAAGAACTGGACGTCGTTGTTGTTGCCATCTTCCAGGCCCGGATCTTGTGGTCATGGTGGGAGCTCAGGATCAGCCCCGGCGGATCGACGACGACAAGCAAGAACTTTACCGCGCCGCCGCCATCGAAAACGCAGAGCTCGTCCAGATCGGGGATGCTCCAGGCGTGGATGCTGCTGCTGGCGCCGGAGGCGGTGTAGAGGATGCGGCGGGAGCTCGAGACGGCCAGCGCGGTGATATGGCCGCGGTGGGCGCGCAAAACCTTGAGGCACTTGGAGGTGGCGCCCTGGATCCCAGGGAACTGGCAGGAGCTAGCGAAGGAGATGAAGGCCGAGATGTTGCTGCTCGAAGGGGAGCTTAGCTGCGAATTAAAGCTGTCCTTTCTCTCGAGTGATGGAGAGGCGATGGCGAGAGGCTCTGCCGGACGGGGAGGCAAGGAGTTAACGGAAGTGATCGTCGTGAGCTCCGAGCTTGACTGGGAGGCAAGGCTGGAGGATGGCTGAGAGACTAGCGATGGTTGGGAGGAGAGAATTGTCACAGGGATGGAGCTTGGACCGTGCTGTGAGCTGGAGGAGGCAAGCATTGCGAAAGACAGAATAAATGGATGAGAACTCTCCAAATTCTTGTCAAGGAGCTATCGTACCTGGGAAGCAGTAACGCCTAGAGAGATAATCTTTTCTTTGGTTTGTCAGGCAGCACTTGATAGATATTCTTTACGATTTTGCTTCACACCCTGGCTCCAAAAATCATTCGCTCCTCGCAAGAAATTCTATCCGACCCGAGTGCTCGAGACAATCCCCCTCAGTCATAGCATTGACCAAAACCAAGCTACTTAATCTTATAAAATGCTAGAGAGGAATTTCTCATGGATGGAATTTCTCAACGTCTGGAGCACGCAATCGACAATTTAGTTTGTTGGCCTCCCTGTCAATCTCCGATATGGAAGTAGCAACGGCGAGCTAACATTTTGAAAAGAATTCTTATGAAATGTGGGCATATATAGTATTAGAAATCAATGATCTTAAACTAGCACTTTTTTTTTTCGAGAAATCCGGTGCCTGCTGCAAGATGCTGGCAAAAGTTGTGGTGTACTGAAGAGAATGCGTATCTAGAGATGGCCACAAGCTTCCAGGGCCAGCAGCATTGGTGGGTCTGTCAACGGACGGCCAAATTCCATTTCTCTTGTTCCTCTCTCAGACCCCATTTCTTTATCCCGAGAAAATTCTGCTGATTCGATGCTGTTCGGCCCCGTTCGCTTGTCTCCTTTTGCAGCCCTGAGGGCATTTCCTGTTGCTTGCACGAATCTCGTAAACAAATCTTCAGCTAAGATGATCACTCAATAACAACTCAAGGTCTAAACTGATTCCTTTGTAATTTCCTACTTTGTTATCTAATGGTTAAGATTAATCTCGTATTTTAACACAGTTTAAAATGTTAAATTGAAAAATTTTCTCTAAATAAATTATAAATTATAAATTTATAATTCTCACTAATCTCCAGGATTTTGTAGGAATACATATCCTATGTGTTCATTGTTATAATTGAGATTGGGATTGTTTTCATTTTGCTTTTATTTGGTTAAAATAAAATATTATGTTAAATTAGATCAATTTAAAAATAATTAAGAGCACATAAGTATATTATAATCTAGAATGGACCTATATTTCATATCTAATTATACTATTTTTATTAAGTTTAAATGAAGAATATAGTGAAGAGTTAACTCAATCATCAATATATATCCTAACTATTCTATATATAAATAAATAAATAATGTATAGAATTTATACTCTACAATTTCTATTTTTAAGCACCAAAATTTTATTAATTGATAATATAATAGTAGTGATAGATTATAATTTTGACTTTATAACAATTCAAAATGTAAATATACTGCACTAGCTTTTAATACTTATAGTAGTACATTAATGTGTTTTCATATGAGTTATTAAGATTTTTTCAAACAGAAATCAGTGTTATTTTTCAAGGCTTCAAAAGAAAATAACAAATGTGTTCTAAACTGCATTTAAATCGTGAATCTTATATATATAAAGTTCACATATTTGGTTGCAAAACTACTTTTATACCAATTTTATAATTAGTGATGCTCAAGTATTTTACACTCTTTTTGACCTCAATTAAAGGTGCATGGTTTGGATCTAAATAAAATATTTTTTGAAAAACATCAATTTTAATTTATCCTATATATTTTAATTATTAAAACTTATTTTAATTTTAATTTAGAAATTTCTAGCTATAAATGCAAGAAAAAAAACATTGAATGTGATTAAAAATATTTCTATCCTATTTTTAAATTATTTTCTAGCTTTGATGTTTAATATATTACAAAAAGATTTACTTACTATGAAAAATATTTTAAGTGAATAAATCAAGATTTAACATAGTATTACTTCTTTCTCGGTATTAATCCATGTTTCAATATTTAGTTCTGAAATTAAATGGTTGTCTTTAAAAATTAAAAGTCTTTCAATAAACCAATTAGGGTATAATCCATTATTATCTCGTTGTATATGTATTTTACACAATCTTTCTTTGGGAAGGGGACAATTTTTAAGATAATTGAATGAATCAGTATGACATTTTTCAAAATTATCATCTTTATCATCAATATCATGAAAATTTATAATTGTTCCAGAAGAAAAACTAAGTGTTATATCAATATTTGCATCTGTTCCTGCATTATGATTGCAACCAGTTTTTATATTTATGCCATAATTACACTATAAATAGAATATTATTTAATTATATCCTATGGAAATTTCAACATACCTGAGTTGAAAATACATATCTATTTAAATAAATAAATAGAAAACTTAAATGTTTAATTCTATATTTAGCCATATTATATTGAAGTAAATAGGGATATTTATATTGTCATATAAAGTAACTAGTAGACTTTGACTTCAGAACTTTATGACTTTGAATTGCTTTTTATAAAAAAAATATTCAATTAATACCTCTGCACTTTAACAATAGTATAGATTTAATTGTATATTCAACTTTTTAGATTTAACTTGGATAGTGGCTGAAGCTATGGCAATGGCTGCTGGCCTCAATTAACTATCAATAATGTTGCTACTTTAGGTGGCCATAGATTGAATATGGTAGTTGTTAAGAGCTAGGATTCTGGGGTTTTCTGTTGAATTTCATTCTCTTTGCCACATCAAAACTCACATGCCCAAGGATATATAAAAATGTGGTGGGGGAGAAAAAGATAGTATAGTTGGAGGGCCAAGCCCATATATAGGAATTTCTACATATTGACTATGCCTACTGGCTTAAATATTGGCTACTTTCGACAAGCAAAAATTTTCTAAGTGTAATATACTAAATGAAACATTTTGGTTTATCCTGGCAGTCACTTGCAGCTTATAGTGGTGTAAAAATTTTCTTAACATGATAAAACAGTATATAAAACTTTATTTAGCCTAGCAAAAATTATATATTATATTATTAAATAAGATTCTCATTGAAAAACTTGTATGCCTCAGCTTCTTAAGTTGACTAAAAGGAGTTGCATCATTTATTGATACTTTAGTTTTTTCTTTTCCACAAATCTTCTTGACCAAGGGTCTAACTTGCTTTAAGGATGTACTATCTTCTCATTATTCAAATTTCTTCACTAGATAAATAAAATCTTCTGGTTGAAACATATCAATATTTTAATCCAAAATATTTAAATCATTGCATACCATCACTATAAATGCTTCATTATTTGGAATTGTATTAAGCATGTTTATCATCAACAATTAAAGTTTCTCCTAGGTAACTTTAGTAAATTTCATCTTTTATACTCTAACATTTTGTACTCTTGATTTTGATACATGTAATGTATCTTCAACACTAGCACATGTATATTGTTCATGTGTTAGAAATTCTTCATTCTGTCAAAACAAAGATATTCATATCTAAATCATTATTATAGATTTTTATAATACCTTTCAGATTTAGTATTTCCATATCTTGTTGTGGTAAGGATATATCATACTTCATTCATTTGTGATGGTTGAATATAACAACTTTCTGTTGCTAATCTAAAGAGTATTTATGATAGCATTGTCAATCAGTTTTTATTGTTTAAAGCTTTGAATAAACCATAAATATTGCAATGATGTATAAACCAATATTTAGAACTAAGCTAGTTCACCCAATCCATTCTTCTATTTCAACTATATTTCTCAGTTAAGAGGATAAATTTTATATTGGCATGAAAAGCCTTGATTGAGCTATTTATTTCCTTATTTGCATGTTGAAAGTTTTGTGCAAGTACAACCCACACCAATAATAATTATTCAAAATCAAGAGTATTATGATATATTTAATTACCAACTTTGTCCAGCCCTATTTCCATTCAATACGAAAATATTTTAGAAAAGCTTCTTCATATTTTACATAAACTTCAAACTTTTCAAATAGCTCTATAACTTCCACTTGTAGTTTTCCAACATCAAAATAAGTGTCACAAACAGTATAGAATATTACCTCTCTAGTTGGTCCACATTTTTATACGAGTCTCAAAACATTTGACTTTCCAAATTAGAAGCTTCAACCAGTTTCTTTTTATATGCACATATATATATATATATATATATATATATATATATATATATATATATATATATATATG